AAGAAATATCGGCTAAAGAAGTAAAATATCAAACCAGAAATCAGTATGAAGAAACCAAAGAGAAATGCATGATCACAACACCATCATCGTTAGAAATCGAGGTTGAGCACTCCTGGCCCGGCAAGTCGGGCCCGTTCTCCTCGGGAGTCCGGGAACATGGGGGCTCAATGAGATCCGAGCGCGGGCACGTAGACTGATTACAAAAGTGAAACAATATCTCCATCGATCTGGGGCTCGATGAGATCTGGCACTACTTTCTTATTTACAAAAGCGAAACAAAATCATAGTTTGGAAGGTTGAGGAAAAATATCTCCAACACATAAAAATGCAGAAAATTAGTGAAACAGTAGGAAGGGACATAGCAGCACTAGAAAGAGCAAATCAGCTGAATAGCCAAAAAGATGTATATTTTATTGGCACGGTTTGTTTATTTCAGCATCTAAATGAACAAAAAGGGCTTATCTAGCTACATCCTATACTAATTCACCACTTAAAAAACACAAAGTTGAAGAACCAGTCATCATACTGAACCAACCAAGCTTAAGTTACAGTAATCACCCTTCATCTTGTGCTTCAACTTAGTTGCACCCAGACGCCAAATAACACTTTCCAATAGCTCCCCCTTTGGAGCAGATGAAATTGAAATTGAGCTCGCCAAAAGCTCTTGCAAAACAATGCACGAATCAAAGATTAGAAGCTCGACAACCAAGCCATACTAACTAGTGTTCCTATTTAAAACTCTCTGCTCTCAAATTAAAGCAGCAAAAAATGATCCGTTACCATTCGTAGGACAGCACAAGCAGATTCCTTACAACGAACCGCCTCCTTTAACAAAGATGACCATATCTCTTTGAGGGATTTGCATTGATCTCGGCCTGAAAAGAAATTGGTGCCACAAATTTCTAGGTCAAGGATTCATACCAATTCACTATGTAAAAACAATAAAAAATCACGAAATTAATTAATTGGTTAATTCCTATTTACAATTTAATTTTTTTAAAGCATACTGTTTTTGTAGGTTGGGATCCTGAGAAAGGGGTGATCCACTGGAAAGGGGCAATCGAGGACCCCAATCGTGCACTGTAGCCTAAGGCAATCATCCTTCAGGTAACCACTGTCAGGTGATTCGAGGACGGACCGTTTGATGAATTGGCGTCGACCAGACAGCTCTCCGGGCCCGAGGCACGCGATCCCCGAGCAAAACTTGAACAAGCCGATACCCCGATGGCCGCCGTTGGCATTCAACAAGTACAATCCGTGCAAAAACTGGACGCGGCCGCCGCTCCTCAGGGCCAAGTATTAGGACGCGTAGCCTTACCGCCGGGTTTCTAGGTGTGCCCCGTTCGGGTAGAAAACGATCTCCCTCTGGTGGCCTCCCGCCGTGAATTCACCGCTCTTGACGGCCTGGCCGACGCCCAGCCGTGCTCTGTGGCGAGAGTAGTCCTTCAGCATCCACAAGTGGGAACTCTTGTGCAGCTTTCCGACTTCCTTTTCCATCACAGATTGCTTACCAATTTTTCGTCTCTGGCACCAAATATATTGGCGAAGAATATTTGTACGGAATGTAAGGGTGTTCAAGGTCCGGATTGGTCCGGTTTTAGCCTCAAACCATGACCAAACCGGACCCAACGGTTAATTATTTTTCTTGTCTATAACTGGACCAGTTTAAATTTTTAACCGACCACAATCCGGACCGCATTGGACGGTCCGGTTTGACAGTTAACCGGTTAAATCCAAAATCCTTGTTTTGGGCCTTCAATTTTTATTTTTTTCATTTTAGCTTTAATTTTTATTTTTAATTTTGGGCTCAAAAGAGATTATTTGGCTAAAAATTTAAAAAAAACAACAATAATGAAATAAAAAATACACAATTTGTCCCATAAGTATAAAAATACACATTTCGTCTCATAAATATAAACTACAAAAATGATGAAGATTAAATTATACAAACTGAACTCAAGCAAACATTCATTTTTCAGTCAGTTTATACACCTAAAATAATAAGAGCAAAACATTCATAGTGAAAATATTGTATTTGTCGGCCATAGTGAATGACTGAATGTATATGTATATTTGTTATAGTTTTTTAAAATTTACCGGTCCGGTCTGGTTAAACCGGCAGTTTGCCGCAGGTAACCCGTTAACCGGACCAGTTATTCTGGATTTTTAAAAAAATTAACTATCGGATTTTTAAGGCTTTTTTAACTGACCATTTAATTGATCCGCGGTCTGGATTGACGGTTATTTTCTGTTAAAACTGAACCGTGAACACCCCTAACAAAATGTATCCTAATTTTTCTCGATATGAATTTGGGACAATCCTAGGTCACTTTAGGATTATAGCAATTGCCGAGTTATGGCATGATTTCGACTATTGCCTTGGTTTGGCCCACCAAGTAGTGGGCCCAACTTTCCTCAATCCTATCTCTATTTCACAACGCAAACATCACTTTGTTCACCACTATTTTGCCAAGAAAGTTAGAATTGATTTTTTTAACCAATTATAAAAATTCAAATTAAACACTTTGTTCACCACTATCTCATATGTTCAATTTTAACCTGAATCTTGTTTTTCTTCTCAACCATTTTGACAAGCAGGTCAGTGTTTGGTGAAACCCAAGCCCAAGCCCAAGCATAAGATACCTTGACAACCGACCGAAAGCGGAAAATGGCGATGGATGCTTATATCTGCTTCCAGATTATCATTTTGGAGTCTGATTGTTTTAGTGCATAATTATGGACTTATTTCTCTATGTTAGAATTTTGCCGATCGTTGTAGTGTATATTATTGTCCTATAGGTGTATTATCCCACATGTAGTCCCTGCTCCTACATATAGGATCGAACTTTCCTTATTTATCAAGAATAGGGCAAGTGATAACTCTCTTAAAATAGAAATACGCCAAAATATTAAGGCCTTCTTTTTTTCCTTTTTTCTCTCTCTCCAGAAAAACCCCTTTTCTCTCTCAGGCGCAACTCCTGCAGATCTGCTGCCTTCCCCGGCGGATTCGCCGGGCACCTTGACGGTGGATGTCCCAAGGCCACACGATTCGGCCCCTATTTATGTTGAAGCCCGGTTTCTCGGTCGATGGAGCTCGGTTGGCCGGGACCGAAGGGATCTCGCGACTCCATGGCTGCCTTTTCGGTGAGTTGGTCGCCGGATTCCATGGCCGAGGCGAGGCGGGCTGCTGTGCTTTTACGGGGTTGGGTGGTGGTGTCGGCAGCCTTGTGTTGGTGTCGACATAGAGGTGGTTGGTTTTCCCTTAGGTCTTCTTCTCCTATGGTGCTTGGGAGGAGAGGATGGCCGGCGTGCCGAGCCCGAGCCGTGGTGTGGATTGGGCTTGGAGCGGCGGTGGTGTGTCTTGGGTTCTACCGCCCTCCTCTGGCTGAGGGGTTAGGACGATTGTTGGGCGCGGGATTGGGGGTTCGGTTTCAGATCTGGTTAGGCCTATGCTGCAGTTTCTGGGTTTGCAATCAAGACCTTGGTCCGGTCCAATTTGGTGGTCGTCTGTTGATGTCACCGTTATGGTCTGTTTGGTGCATTATCAAGCCGTGGGAAGGGCTCTAGTCTAGTATTTTGTTTTATTTGGTGTTTTGTGTTGCTTGATTTTTGTATGTTTTGTGTTTATGTGGTGTTTGATGTGTTGTTTTGTGAATTGTGTTTTGTTATCTCCTTTTTGGAGGAGTGTGTATTCTCCTTTGGGGAGCTGTGTTATTCTCCTGTGGGGAACTTTGTGTATTCTCCTGTGGGGAGCTTTTATTTTTCTTATTCGTTTGTAGTGTGAGTTGTGGTATTTAGGCTACCTTGAGTAGTCCTCCTATTTCGGCTAGTGAGCCGGTTGTAATTACGTGTTTAATTAATGAATTCTATCGTTTCGAAAAAAAAAAATAAAATAAAAAAATAACTCTCTTGTTTTCATGTTTCTGACCTTGAAAGAACATTTATATGTTTTGTGTGTTGTCATTCTCGCATTATTCTAATTTGAATAGTAAATGTATCTTATGGAAATTGTTTATTAGGCTGTAGATTAATAGCAATGTCAATAGTGATGTAGATTAATAGTGCTATGACTTGATATAGATAAATAAAGCCGAAAAAAAAAAAACAAAGAAAAAAAGAAAGAAAGAAATAAAGAATTATGGACATTGTTAATAACTCAATGGTGATGTATGCACAAGATCTTGAAAAGAAACTTGAATTTGAAATATAGAAAATATTTATTATATGAGCAAAGTGGGTTACTTTAAAGTCCAAAAGTGAAATTTCATTCAGACAATATCCATTTTTTTTTTCACATCACATTCACATGACTAAAAAATAAGTGCATTAGAGAAAGATTTTTGAAATCAAATTTCATTTTTATTTTAACAAACGCTCTTAGAATTGGGACAACCTTCCAATACCTTGACCCCCTATTTAACAAATTATTAACTTCCCATATATTTGAGGGTAACTTTGATAATACATGATAACTGATAAGACACTGAAAATAGCTATGTCTATTTATATAATTAATAAGACTAGAATCCAGCCCTCATAGACGAGCCTTTCGTGCTTGGAGGCTGCATGGTTCCGGGCCATTCTCGGACTTCTCATGGCAGCCTTGTGGCAGTTTAATCTGTGCCAAACCAACAAATAGAATATCGAAGTAGAATAGTGGGACAGATATCGAGCGAACCTCTGACAAACACAAAAAGGAAACACAGAGCAAAACATCAAAAGCATATATGCATACAACCTAAAACCACCAATTTACAGAAGCCATGCCCTTTAGACAAATAAAATTAGATTTATTAGGATTCAACGCTTCCTTAGCAAAAGCAGAGATTGTCGAAACCTCAAAAGGCTCTTCCCGGGATCATTAGACAACATATGATGAACAACAGCTAAAGAGCCAACATATGATGTGCATCGTCATATTCACAATCATATTCTCATTTCTACTACATCCAGAAATTCACTCCGACAAATATATGACATTTCTATAACCTCCGGATATACCAGTTCGACAAAAATAACCACTTCCGAAATCATGTATCAGAAAAAGAGGTGCTCATATGCCAACACAAGTCGACACAAAGAGAGAGATTTTTTTGAGTGATGGTCGTGGTTTTTCATAATAATATGATATTATGATCCAGGTAAACAAATGCAAATTAAAATGCCGAAAATCAAAATCAACTATAATGATATATATTGCTACACCACATAAAAAACAAAACTCCAACATACATCAACCATGCCTTCTTTTGTGAATTAAAGTACAAGCTTTTCTAGGTGACATCAGGAGAAAGATCCACATCTAACCTTCAAAAACCTGTTAGAAAATCTAATCAGGCACCATATTCATTATATATTCTAGGACTGAAATGAAAATCATGATGTCAACCTACACAAAAAGACCCCATTATCATTCAAGATCATAGATACTCCCTATGACATTTTATTTGTTTTTCATAGTGTTTCTTCTCAGGGGTCGACTGAGAACTACCCGAGGAACTGCAGTTGGAGGACGATAATGGAGATGGAGATGGGCAAACCAGAGTTCAATCACAGTTCGAAAACTGATGCAGCTCATATTTTCTCCAAAAAAAAGGGCATTTTTTTTTTTTTCATGTTCTGAAAAAAAGAAAACGAAAGGAAAAGGAAAACAAAAATTGTTTGAGAAAAAGTGTTGCCAACAATCTAGTACCTTATAAAATTTGTGCGTTCCTCAGCAGGGGAATCAGGTTTCGGTTTTTTGACATTATCGAGAATGTGAGCTTCATATTTCAAGTTCACGGCAGTGTTTCCACCCATCTCGAGTAAGGAACCAACTTACGCATGGGACCACTCGTCAAGTTTAACTTTTAATACCTATTGTCAAGCTTACATTTTTATTGTCTACAAAAGTGAAACAAAATCATAGTTTGGAAAGTTGAGGAAAAAATCTCCAACACATAAAAACACCAAAAATTAGTTAAACAACATTATTTCAAAGGATATGAAGGGGCATAGCAGCACTAGAAAAAGCAGATCAGCTGAATAGCCAAAAAAAACATATTATTTGTACATTATTTGCTAGTTTGTCCTATTGCAAAGAACTAGGGGTTTTCTACTTCATGATACTAATTCACCTCTAAACTTAAACACAAAGATGAAGAACAATCATCATACTGAACCAACCAAGCTTAAGTTACACTAATCATCCTTCATCTTGTGCTTCAACTTAGTTGCACCCAGACGCCAAATAACACTTTCCAATAGCTTCCCCTTATGAGCAGATGAATTTGAAATTGAGCTGGCCAAAAGTTCCTGCAAAACAATGCGTGAATCAAAGATTAGAAGCTTGACAACCAAGCCATACTAACTAGTGCTCCTATGTAAAACTCTCTTCTCTCAAATTAAAGCAGCAAAAAATGATCCGTTACCCTTCTTAGGATAGCACAAGTAGATTCCTTACAACGAACGGCCCCCTCTACCAAGGATGACCATATCTCTTTGAGGGATTTGCATTGATCTCGGCCTGAAAAGAAATTGGTGCCAGCCACAAATTTCTAGGTCAAGGATTCATACCAAATCACGTATAAAAACAATAAAAAATCACGAAATTAATTAATTGGTTAATTCCTATTTACAGTTTAATTTATTTTTTTTTAAAGCATACCGTTTTTGTGGGTTGGGATCCTGAGAAAGGGGTGATCTATTGGAAAGGGGCAAACGAGGACCCCGATCGTGCACTGTAGCGTAAGGCAATCCTCCCTCAGGTAACCACTGTCAGGTGATTCGAGGACGGACCGTTTGATGAATTGGCTTCGACCAGACAGCTGGCCTTGCCTGAGGCACCCGATCCCCGAGCAAAACTTGAACAAGCTGATACCCCGATGACGTCCGTCGGCATTCAACAAGTACAATCCGTGCAAAAACTGAACGCGGCCGCCGCTCCTCAGGCACAAGTATAAGGACGCATAGCCTTTCCGCCGGGTTTCTGGGTGTAAGCCATTGGGGTAGAAAAAGATCTCCCAGCTGTGGCCTCCCGCCGTGAATTCACCGCTCTTGACGGCCTGGCCAGCGCCCAGCCGTGCTTTGTGACGGGAGTAGTCCCTAAGCACCCACAAGTGGGAACCCTTGTGCAGCTTTCCGACTTCCTTTTCCATCACAGATTGTGTACCGATTTTTCGTCTCCGGCACGAAATATATTGGGTGAAGATTTGTACGAATCCTAATTTTTCTGGGCATAGGTTTCGGACAATCCTATTATTCTGGTAATGTAGGATTGCAAGGGCCGTGTGATGAGATTATTGCCTTTGGTCAGGCCCACTAAGTAGTGGGCCTAACAGAACTTTGTTCCCCACTAATTCGCCAAAAAGTCAGAATTGTTTTTTTTTTTTTAAACAGTTATATAAATTTCAATTAAACACAAGGAATACTTATCTATTCCAGACATGAATAATTTGTTATACATAATTGTAAGTGTGGTTATAATATAATAAACTTGTCAATTAAGAGATTTCACGAGTAGGTAATACACTAGTCACTTGTACAGAAACCTTTTGTGTTCGTACAAAATGTAAATTACATAAGTGTAGGAAAATGGATTAATATAAGTGTAGGAATATTTTCATATATGGTGGTGCAAGAATCGAAATTATAAGGGTGCTAGCGTCCAATCACAATACTAAAAAATAAAATTAAGAATAAAACATTAAATAGAAAATTATAATTTAACATTTACTTAGACTGATTTTATAGATATGTGTGACGAAAATTGGTTTTTGTATCGTTTTGACTATTTTACTTTTCGTAGAAGGAATACTTAAAATAAAATCTTAAATCATTTTAGGTTGAATGAGAAATTAATTATATAGTTGGAAATTGGAATGTGAGGGAATGTGAATTCATGTAACTCAAAATTGAGTTTAAGTAACTCAAAGATTGCAGGATTTCATAAACATCCCGTCTTTGATGAGTGTTACGATATTTTGAGTTACATGAACTCAAAGATTATAAGATTTCACAAATATTATGTATTTGATGAACTGTTTCCATAACTCAAACGAGTCATAATCATTACTAGAACTTTAGAAGGGTTCGTTGGGGACGAGTAGAAAAAAATGGAATCTGATTCCGAGTCCAGACGAGCTGTACGAGCTCTCGGTGTGCAGGCGCGTGCCATGCCCCGTCGCGGGCGTGACGCCTGACTAAGGCCAACAGTTGGGTGCGATGACTCGTCGAGCTATCCATGTCGAAAAGCTTTCTACTCAGTTTTGGACGATGGGGCATGTCTCGAAAGATGTCTTTTGATGCCACATGACTTGAAATTCTATCATTTCTTTAGTGAGAACTTAATTAAAAGATAAGAAATTGAGATAGCCTTAAGATAACCTTTATTTTTCTTGTGATTAGCCGCACGAGATCGTCACGTGTATGATATGAGCTCAGGGTTTCAGGCTTTTAGCAGATAGGGGATAAGAGTGTACGGAGCTCGATTTCTGTGCTTTAATGGCGACATAAAAAAATGGAGAAAATTCCCAAACTCCTTTCCTTACAAAATGATAAAATTTGTCCAGTTTACACCACCGATGCACACACACCAACGCGCACACACATTGCTCCAACCGGGAATCCAGGACGGCGGTACGGCATCGTTGATACGGCGGCGCGAGAAGGTGCGATAGCGTTGAAACTGTGGCCGGCGGTTTGACTGTGTGATTTTCGTGTGGATATAAAAAATCACCGGCTGACAGAGATGGCAGCCAAAACCTAGCTAGGCTGTAAGTTATTTACATATTGCATTTCAACCTTTTCTCACTCGATTTTGGTTTCACTGTTGTTATTGCAACTGGTCATCATTAATGTGACTTTGTTTGATTCATCTGCCACACAGTCTAAACCTGCGTGCAGAGCATTTGCTGCAGAAATTGAATGAATTTGTCAAGAAAAATGGGTCAATATGTCTTGAGGATTCGGTAGATGGGCCTGGGTGCTCACTTCTATCTGGATCCCTCTCGATGGCCTTATATTGTATCCTTCTCACAAAAACAAAAGGAGAAAAGAAAACGAAAAAACAAATGGTTTCATTTTGTATTGTCTTTCGTTTATGTGTAATTAATTTAACAACACCCCTGTTACTCATAGTTTTATTTCATGTTTTTGTATTGGGCAAGAATTGTTGTAGAGATGGGATGACTGAATAGACATTCATTGGGTTTTTAGGTCAAGGCCACTTCATTCACAGCCTTGGGTCAGTTTGCTAATTGAATTATTAAAGCTTTGTGTTCCTGTTATTGAGAAAGAAACAATACTTGGAATTATGGATAAAATATATAGTTTCCTTCTATTTTTGAAGCATTTAATAGTGAAAGGGTTCTTATTGAATTTGAAAATGTTTGAAACTTCTTTCTGATTATTCATTGCTCCAAATAATTTCTAGCTCTTGCTTTCTGCATTGATTATATAATCCCTTGTCTTTCAATAGTTATCTCTGAAATAACGCCTGTATTGGCAGATACTATGCTTACATGGGTCTCCTGATGGACCTGGATAGATGTAGCTTAGATTTATGCACCGTAATTTCTCCTACTCTCTCTCTCTCTCCATTGTTTTTCCTTGTTGTTCAATAATTATGCTGATATGCTTGTGCAGATATGTAGCGGTCATGAATTCAATCTTTTCTGCTCAACGTTCAATGGTAAAAAGTGGAACTGAAGAATTTTGTTGAAATGCAAAAGTTGTCTTCCGGTTATAATATTTCCCCCAAACCTTATTATGAATTAGTCTGGTTCATAAACATATGCCGATATAGTTATCTTTCTTCCTTCCCAGGTTCCTATAGAATCGGCAACCAAAATTCAGCTTTCCTGCAGCAGGTAGAATATAAAATGTTAACTAGTTTGCCAAATATTCTCCAATTATAAATTATTTAGAATTTCATCTATCTTGAATGTCAATGGTAAATTTTTCCAATATGCGTCTTACATAACTGGAGGCGTGTATATGAAGCCTCAAGTGTTGGATGGTCTATTTCAGTATCTTTGGTAGGAACTGTTCTATATTGGTCAGTATGAAATTCTGGAATTTGTTTGTTTTTCATATATCTTTTGAAGGAGCACATACTATACATTTTTTCTCACTCTGTCAAAAGAAGCGCATGTCTATGGTTAAACCTGAAAGATGTTTCTATAGCATTTTTATGTGAACAAACAGAAAAATGACACATATTTGTCTTAATTTTTACTTAACAATACTCATGCATTGAAAATTAAGTCTATCCAATGTTATATGTTATCCAGTTCAACTATAAAGAAAAAGGGAAAGACCTAGATTATATTTTCTCTTGTCTGGAATTAAAGTGAGGTTGTTCTCTTCTCCAGAAAGTTTTTGCGACTGATTTGCATTCTCGCGCCCTTTTACAACTTCCAAAGCATGCAGGAGTTGACTTTCGAGCATCGTAAGTATCTAAGAACTTCCGAAGGTCAGTTGTTGATCTTTAACTTCTGCAAATGTATTTACAGTTTGAAGGTTTCAGCTGAACTCACATGCATGAAGTCTCACAATAATGTAATTCAGAATTTTTTCTCCCTTTCCTATTCTGTATTGGTGCTTATCATACATGGCAAAATAAATAACATCGATATATTGAACAATATAATCGTGCCTACCTTTGTAATCATGAAGCTTTGGTTGTATTTCTCCCTGTCCCTCCAACAGTATCAAATGCATGTTGTATCCATGTAATCTAGCAGCATTTCTAATGTTTTTGCCTATTTGTTTTTTTTTTTTTATTTTTAGTTTTAATGTTTTCGAGAGAGCTAAATAGAGAAGGACCTGATTACAAAATGAAAAACCCAGTTATCCAATAAAAAAACTACCGTTTAGATATTATTGTCTCGCATTTCACAGCTGCGATTCGTACTTATGAAAATATCACAATTATTCCATATCTATAATTTTGTCTTAATATATCATAAATCTGCAGTTGCTTCTGCATGCCACAAAAACACAATCGATATGGGCTTCATATCTTCCGTTTGTTTGTCAATTTTCTGCAAGCACCAAAAGAAATGCTCAACCTGTGGTAAGTTCCGTGCATTCCGTTTCACTTTAAGTTATGAATTTGGTTATTATAATATGCCATGATTTTTGGAGCTCAAGTTTCATAGATACGAGTGTTTATGACAACTAAGGAATATATGAAATATGTCATCAGCAGCACTGCATATTTACCTTTTTAACCCATATCTTGTTTTTTTTTTGTCTTCCACTTTGACAAGCAGGTCAGTGTTTGGTCAAACCCAAGCACAAGAATCCTTGACACCCGACCGAAATAGGAAAATGGCGGTGGATGCTTAGAGGCTTTTCCGATGATTTTTTTGCTTGTTGTCGATCATTGTTTTGTCTTTGCGAGTGTATTTTTTTGTTTCAAATTTCTTTATAACACTCTAGACATGCTACGAAATACCGTTTTCAATGGTGAACAACCGATATATTTTTCTTAACCATGACATGTTGGGCTCAAACAGAATCAAATTCATGACAGGACAAACTAGCCATCATGCCTAAAATTCAAAAAAAATAGCACCCAATCTTTTTAGGTGTTTATTTTTTTTATATTGTTTTTTGAAAAATGACCTTATTTGACCGACTACGTGCAATACATCGCATACCCACACTCACTTACCCAGATTATAATACTTAAAGAGTTATGATGGCATATTTGCATTTCACATTAAAAAAACTAATATCACAAAAAATTGCATTCCACATTAAAAAAACTAAACCATAAAAGTAGTCATCATGTACACACCACTACAAACTCACACTCTCCTACATGTCAATATGTCATCTTCACTGCAAACAAACCACTACAAAAACACACTCCTACATGTCATCTTCACTAAAACAAACCACTACAAAAACACACTCCTACACATCATCTTCACTACAAACACACCACAGGCATTCGTTCCTACCTACCTATAGCTAAACATCATATCTATAGCTAAACATCAATGGGCACATCAATTTATATAAAAAAATCATTATTTAAATTTTAAGCCAATTTGAAACATTCAAATATTTAAACTAACTAATAATACTTTCTATATATATATATATATATATATTATATTTAAATATGTATTTTTTATTTATCTTAAAATATTTTTAAATATAAAAAGACTTTTATAAAAAATATATGGATCGGTTCAACCGGTCCAATCAGACCGGTTTTTGGCCATTTTTTACCGGTCGCTGCCAACCGGTTCATTACAGCAAACCGGACCGGTCAACTGACCGATTCCCGTTCCAACTGATCAGATCGGCCAGTTCGGTCCGATTTTCTCGACCATGTTTATTTTCATAATTAAAATGGTTAAAAATACACATGAGTAATTTAAAATTTAAATGTTAAAAAATATAAAATCAAAAGAAATAATATATATAGTTACAATACTGTAATGGGTATATAAAAATTTAATTTTACTTACCAATTTAACAAAGAGTGCAATTATATCAATTTTTAAGACATAACCATTACAATTTTGATTAAATATATAGAATATTAATTACAAAAACACAAATAAAATGATATGTGAAACATACTAAAAATAACTCCAAAAAATGGGCGGGAAATGGTAGGCTATTGATTTTAAAAAAGATAAATATATGATGACATATATTAAAAGTAAAAAATTAACTAATATTATGTTTTTGGACGGGAAATGGTAGGCTATTGATTTTAAAAAAGATAAATATATGATGACATATATTAAAAGTAAAAAATTAACTAATATTATTTACACATTATATAAATTTGATCATCAAAATATTTATGTTGATCATAAAAATATTTATGTTTCGATCGTTCAAGTTTTAAACCTTGATTTAAAGAAGATAAATATAAAAATAGATTAATATTTATGAAAGAAGCAAAACTTTAGTTTCAAACACGTTTTAAACCTTGATTTAAAGAAGATAAATATAAAAATAGATTAATATTTATGAAAGAAACAGAACTTTAGTTTCCAACCAATAAGTTCAAGTGCTAATCAATTCAACTAGCTATGGCAATTTATTCCCCCTCTATCAATTTTTATAACGTTTAGTATTTTTTCCTAGTAATCTTTCAATTTAGTATAATTGTTGTAATACTAAGAAGTAAGAACCACTTGTTTATATAGTTTATCGTGCAGTATTTTATGTACACTCGTGTGAATAAAAGAAATGAAGGAAAAAAATTGTATTATCAGACGTGCATGTGCAGCTGAAGAAAAGAAGAACTCATGCAAATCTGTGGAATTTTGACCTCACTTGAATGGCTTTTGGGCCAGCCCAAATGCCTACTAATTCCAACTGGGTGCTGTATAATTTCGGGGCCTGTCATCGTTTTGGTCTTTTTTATAACATTTCTTATAAAAACTTAAAATAATATACTTTCATACTAGATTAACAAAATTAATTAAATATATATATATTATAGTATATATATATAATTACGATAAAATTACACTTTTAAATTACACTTTTAGATTAACAAAATTAATTACACTTTTAATTAATTGATAATTGTTGAGCTATGAGTAACTAGAGTTTTTTGTTGGAAAAGGTAGGACAGTAAATTATTTTTATTTTTAAATTATATTGATGAGATTAAGTAAAAAAAATAATAATTTATTATTTTTGAAATGTTTTATACAATACCAAATTCAATGAAATAAAATGCGAAACAGAAATAAAAGTATTTTTATATCCAACGTCATAGAAATGACCCATTTTCCTATTTATCAAGAATTGGGCGAGTGTTTTCATTTTTCAGACCTTGAACAAACTTTTCTATGTTTTTTGTGTTCCTATCCTCGTATTATTCTAGTTTGAATAGTTAATGCATCATATGGACATTGTTTCTTGGGTTGTACCAAAGTAAATCGACAATGTCATAGTGATGTGGATTAACAGTGATGTTACTTAATATATAAATAGATTTTACTGTCATTTCAATGTAAAAAATAAAAATAAAATATCATGGATTTAGTTAATAGTGACGTGTGCACAAAAATCTTAAAAACAACTTGAATTTGAAATATGGAAATATTTATTATGTGAGTATAATGGTTACCTTAAAGTCCAAAAGTGATATTTCATACAGATATACAATATCCATTTTAATTTTTGTCATATCACATGACTAAAAATAATTGCATTCGAGAAGGATTTTTCAAATCAAATTCCATTTTGCTTATATGACATCGATTTGTTAACAAACATTTATTGCTCTTAGAATCCGATAACCTTCCAATCCCATTTATGCCTCTTGACCCGCTATTCAACAAGTTAATACTTTTCAAAATATTTGTCTCAAGGGACGTGAGATCCGTCTTCATGTAGTTTGCGACAGTTGATATTCGCCGTGATCGGGTTGCATTCATCACCGTTTATGATCATCATGCGTTTTAAATTGTTATGGCGATCTCTTCGAACGTGGTCCTTCTTTTAGGATTTTGTATTTGAAGTTTTTCGTCGTTCGTCATTGTTTGGCATGGATCGATTGTGGTGCGCCAGTTGTTTAAGTGGGCCGCAATATATATGTTGATCATCTCAATTTTTCCAATTGTGATGGGAGAGATAAGAAAAAGATTAAAAAAAAAGAAGATCAAGCGATCGTAAAAATACAATAATTTACGCAAAATAATCATGAATTTCCTACAATATAACATATGATTAATGGGATATATGAACATGTGTAATTTACCTCCCTATACATCTCTAGAAATTAAAATTGCGTTATTCTAGGTGTATACATGCTCGAGGAGTTTTTTTATGACTGTTGATACATCCTCGTCGTTTGATCGGCCAGCATGGGACGATGAATGGTTGAGCAGTGTGCTACTTCATCATGTGGGTATTTTGCCGAAGCAGCCTGAGAAGCAATACACAGATTAGCTTTCACTTTTGCATGCGATCGACGATGACAGTTACAGATCGACAGAGAATGTGCAAAAGCTCATAAACAATAAGCCGATAAAAATGCCCAACATTAGTGAAACAATAAGCCGAAAAAATGCTGAATATTAGTGAAACAAATCGTAGTTTGGAAAGTTAAGAGGAAAAAAAATATCCACTCGAACACATAAAAATGTCGAAAGTTAGTGAAACAACATTATTTCAGAGGATAGGAAGGGACATAACAGCACAAGAAAAAAGCAAATAAGCTGAATAGCCAAAAAGATATATATTATTATTTGCTGGTTTGGTTTGCTTATTTCAGCAGCTAAGATGATTTTCTATTGCAATGAACTTTTATCTAGCTACATCCTATACTAATTCACCATTTAAAAAACACAAAGTTGAATAATCATTCATCATACTGAACCAACCAAGCTTGAGTTACACTAATCATCCTTCATCTTGGGCTTCAACTTAGTTGCACCCACACGCCAAATAACACTTTCTAATAGCTTCCCCTTAGGAGCAGATGAAAATGAAATCGAGCTGGCCAAAAGTTCCTGCAAAACAATGCACAAATCAAAGATTAGAAGCTTGAGGGATTTATAACTCTCTTCTCTCAAATTTAAACAGCAAAAACAATTCGTTGTTACCCTTCGTAGGACGGCACAAGCAGATTCCTTACAACGAACGGCCTCCTCTAACAAGGATGACCATATCTCTTTGATGGATTTGCATTGATCTCGGCCTGAAAAGAAATTGGTGCCAGCCACAAATTTCAAGGTCAAGGATTTATACCAAATCACATCACAGATAAAATAAACAAAAAAAAAAAAAGAAACACGAAATTAATTAATTAGTTAATTCCTATTTACAATTAAACCCTAGCTTGAAATAAAAAATAAAACTAAAAGGCATACCTTTGTTGGTGTGGATTGGGGACCTGAGAAAGGGGTGATTTATTGGAAAGGGGCAATCGAGGATCCCAATCGTGCACAGTAGCCTCAGGCAATCATCCTTCAGGTAACCATTGTCGGGGGATTCGAGGACGGACCTCTTGATGAATTTGGTCGAACCAGACTGCTCGCGGGGCCTGATGCACCCAATCCCCAATCGAATCTTGAAAAGGTTGATACCCCAATTGACGCCGCCGTCGGCAGCCAACGCGTACATCGCGTGAAGAAACTGGACGCCGCCGCCGCCGCCGCCGCCGCTCCGCAGGGACAAGAATATGGACGCGTAGCCTTGACTCCGGGTTTCGGAGTCGAGGCCGTTGGGGTAGAAAAAGATCGCCCAACGGTGGCCTCCCGCCGTGAATTCTCTGCTCTGGACGGCCTGACCGGCGCCCAGCCGTGCTTTGTGGCGGGAGTAGTCCCTCAGCTCCCACAGGTGGTGACTCTTGTGCAGCTTTCCGACTTCCTCTTCCATCACAGACCGCGAACTAATTTTTTTCGTCTCCGCCACGAAATAGTAATATAATAGATAGGGCGAAGAATAAATTTATATTTAAAAATATTGTTAATTGATATTTTGTGAATTTAAAACATTCAAATATTTAAACTAACTAATAATAACTTATATATACATTTATTATATTTAAATTATATTAAAAATATTTTTAAATATATTAAAATTATTTAAAAAACAATATTGGACCAGTTCAAACCAGTCCGACCGGCTGGTCTTTGGCTGGTTCTGACCATTTCAATCGGTCATTGATCAATTTTTGACCAGTTCGCCTGTCAATCAATTCATTCCAGCGAACCAAACCGGTATATGACCGGTTCTTGGTAACATTGAATGCATCAATGTTTTTCACTTACTTTTAATTAATATTATATTGTTATATTTTTTATTAATATTTCAAAACTATTGTTGACTTATGAAAATTGAGTCAATTGATGGGGAATATTTCCCAAGTATAAGCAATAGAAAATACGGTAACAGAGGTCGGATGACCAGTTATTAAGGCAAATCAGCTCGTATTATATATCACGAAAGTCTATTTATAGTGAGAGAGAAAATTCGTCTCTTATTACTATAAATGAGTGGTATTTATAGTGTAAAACCTAGCTAGGACATTGTTTACGATGTTTGTATAGTAGCATTAAATGCGATTCAATGGTGACTTCTAATGATCACATTTTGACAGTACGACGGGTATGCGGCTTGTTCACCATTAATGTGCTGCGGGAGTCGGTATGCGCATAATTTAGGTCGGCTTCCGACAGTACGATTTTGACCCTGATTCTTATTTATAGTCATTGTATAGAAGCGTAAAAACGATTTTCATGGTAAACCAAAATGGTATACCACATGATATATTCAACAAGGCTCCAGGAGGTCTTGATTTTTACAGGCTTCTTTGCAAGCTGGGGACGTGTTCTATCTAAGTCTGTAAATGGGCTGAGTCGATCTCGAGCTTAGGGTGCTCGAGCTCGAGCTTGAACTCTTAACAAGCCAAGCTGCTCGGCTCGTTAAATAAACGAGCCAGAAATCAAGCTCGAGCTCAAGTCAACTCGTTTATCACTATTAACGAGCAAAATTTGAACCTTAATGAGCCGATCTCGAACTTTAAGGAGCCGAATTATAGAAAATTATATAAAAATTCTCTTTTCGAGTGATATCGAGTCAAGCCGAGCTTGGCTCATTAATTAAACAAACTTTAAATGAACTTGAACTCAACTCGCTAACGCCTCGAGCTCGAGCCTTAACAAAGCCGAGCTCAAACTTGGCCGAGTCCAGCCAGACTCATTTGATTTAGCAACACTAATTAATTCTATCACCCACATTCCCATTTAGGGGTGTTTTGCTATGAGCATGCATGCCACACGCGTGCGGTGAAGAAAGCTTTTCGAAGAGTCGTGTGATGATTTTTATTGCTCGTGTTTGTTCTTTTGTTCAGAGTATGCATTACATTTAGCCCTTCACTTGTAAAGTCGCAATGGCTTTTATCACTTCTCTTATTCGAGTTTAACAACTTTAGACGTGTTGGCTTGTGATTAGCCTCACGAGATCGTCACGTGTATGATGTGAGCTCAGGGTTTTAGCAGAAAGGGGATAAGAGTGTACGGAGCTCGCATTCTGTGCTTTAATGGCGAAATAAAAAGATGAGAAAATTCCCAAACTCCTTTCCTTACAAAATGATAAATTTGTCTAGTTTACATTACCGATGCACACACACACCGACGCACATACACTGACATTGCTCCAACCGGGAAGGCAGGCCGGCGATTTGAATCTGTGATTTTCGTGAGATGTCATCCAAAACTTAGCTGGGCTGTAAGTTATTTACATATTGCATTCTCTTAAGAACCTTGATAGGAAACTAGCTTGGCTATAAGTTATTTACATATTGCATTTCAACTTTTTATCACTCGATTTTGGTTTCACTGTTGTTATTCTTGTAGTTATAATCTAGGTTTCGTTGATTTCAGATAACAGAAGGAAGATGACTCCAGTCTCAGCTAAGCTTTATACAGGTATTCTCAATGTGCCTTGCTGTAATCACTCTACCCACCACAGACTTACATGTGCGAATAATATGTATGTTTTTGTTCTGTCTTGAAATTGTGGTTTCTTCATCTTAATTTCACAGATGATGTGAGTCTATTGATGGTACTTACTGATACCAACCCATTCTTTTGGAACTCGGTGAAATCCACTCTCCTTTTCTCTAAGTTCTTCTCCATGTAATTTCCTTTCTTTGTATAAACCTACTTTTTCTGACCGGGAATTTTCGATTAGAGCTCTGTTTTTTAAATTTTGTAATATCAAACTAGTATTGGTGTATTTTACACAGGTACTTGCATTCTTGTATTCGATACTTTTGGTGAATCAGCAAAACCAAGTGGTTGTAATTGCAACTGGTCACCATTAATGTGACTGTGTTTGATTCATCTGCCACACCTGCGTGCAGAGCATTTGCTGCTGAATTTGTCAAGAAAAATGGGTCAATATGTCTTGCGGATTCGGTAGATGGGCCTGGGTCCTCACTTCTATTTGGATCCCTCTCGATGGCCTTATATTGTATCCTTTTCACAAAAAAAAAGGAGAAAACGAAAAAAATAGATGGCTTCATTTTGTATTGTCTTTCGTTTATGTGTAATTCATTTAACAACACCCCTGTTACTGATAGTTTTAGTTCATGTTTTTGTATTGGGCAAGAATTGTTGTACTTGACATGGGATGAGTGAATAGACATTCCTAGGGTTTTTAGGTCGGGCCACTTCACTCACAGCTTCGGGTCAGTTTGCTAATTGAATTATTAAAGCCATTTGATTGTTGTGTTCCTTTTATTGAGAAAGAAACATTTAATAGTGAAAAAGGGTTCTTATTGAATTTGAATATGTTTAAATCTTCTTTCTGATGATTCATTGCTCCATATAATTTCTAGCTCTTGCTTCCTGCATTGATTATATAATCCCTTGTGTTTCAATAGTTATCTCTGAATTAATGCCTGTATTGGCAGATACTATACTTACATGGGTCTCTGGATGGGCCTGGATAGTATGTAGCTTGATTTATGCACCTTAATTCCTCCTACTCTCTCTCTCTCTCTCTCTCTCTCTCTCTCTCTCTCTCCTTTTTTTGTCCTTGTTGTTTAATAATTATGCTGATATACTTGTGCAGATAGGTAGCGGTCATGAATTCAATCTTTTCTGCTCAACGTTCAATGGTAAAAAGTGGAACCGAAGAATTTTGTGTAAGAAAATGCAAAAGTTGTCTTCCGGTTATATTATTTCCCCTAAACCTTATTATGAAATAGTCTGGTTCATAAACATCTGCCGATGTAGTTAGCTTTCTTCCTTCCTAGGTTCCTATAGATTCATGTGTAATCGGTAATCAAAATTCTGCTTTCCTACAGCAGGCAGTATATGTTTATTAGTTCACCAATTTTTCTCCAGTTATAAAATTTTGATAATTTCGTCTATCTTCAATGTCAATGGTAAATCTTTCGAACAGGGGTCTTGCATAACTGAAGGCGTGTATGTGAAACCTCGAGTGTTGGATGGTCTATTTCAGTATCTTTCGGTAGGAACTGTTCCATTTTGGTCAGTAGGAAATTCTGGAATTTGATTGATTTTCATTTATCTTTTGAAGGAGCACATACTATATATTTTTTCCCACTCTGTGAAAGATAGCGCATGTCTACGGATAAACCTGAAAACTGTTTCTGTAGTATTTTTATGTGAACAAACATAAAATGGTCACATATTTGTCTTAATCTGTATTAAACAATACTCATGCACTGAAAATTAAGTCTATCCAATGTTATATTTTATCCACTTCAACTATAAACAAAAAGGGAAAGGCCTAGATTTTATTTTCTCTTGTCTGGAACTAAAGTGAGGTTTTCTTCTCCAGAAAGTTTGTGACTGATTTGCATTCTCGCGCCTTTTTACGACTTCCAAAGCGTGCAGGAGTTGACTTTCGAGCCTCATAAGTATCTAAGAACTTCCGACGCTCAGTTCGTTGATCATTAACTTCTGCAAATGTATTTGCTGTTTGAAGGTTTCAGCTGAACTCACATGCATGAAGTCTCACAATAATGTAACTCAGAAATTTTCTCCCTTTTCGATTCTCTACAGTTTGAAGGTTTCAGCTGAACTCACATGCATGAAGTCTCACAATTATGTAATTCAGAAATTTCCTCCCTTTTCGATTCTCTATTGGTGCTTCTCATACATTCCAAAATAAATAACATCGATGTATTGAACAATATAATCGTGCCTACCTTTGTAATCATGGATCCTTGGTGGTATTTCTCCCATTTGTGTTCATGTAATCTAGCAGCATTTACAATGCTTTTTTGCGTATTTGTNCTTTTTTAGTTTCAACGATTTGTAATGTAATCTAATAGTTCTAGTGCATGTTTTCTGTATTGAGCAAGAATTGTTTTATTTGATATGGGATGACTAAATAGACATTCAGAGGGTTTTTAGGTCAGGACCACTTCACCCACAGCTTTGGGTCAGTTTTTAAAGCGCATTTCTTGCTCTTGTTTTCATGCATTGATTTTATAATCCCTCAAAGTTATCTCTGAGTTAATACATGTATTGGCTAATACTATATTTACATGTATCTCCTGATGGGCCTGGACAATATGTAGCTAAGATGTATGCACCTTAATTAGTTTGCCAATTTTTCTTCAATGGTAAATTATTGAGAATTTCATCTCTCTTGGATGACTTTTTTGAACAGGCTCCTTAATAACTGGCGGAGTGTGTTAAAATCCTGGATTTTGTTTGTTTTTTTCCAGTATCTTTGGAAAGAGTACTTACTATACATTTTTTGCAAAAACGTATGTCTAGATTATCTTACGGATTAAAGTGTGAGCGATAAGTAAGGTCTAGATTATTTACGTGGTTAGTATAAAACAATCTTTTAATCCGTAGTCCGTTCAATACATTTAAATTGTGCTAGTGTAATTCATTAGGGAAGAGAAACTAGTTCAAAATTATGCTACAACATTTCACGGCAGCTGGTTACTAACCCAAAATTACACTAGGACATTTCACATTTCATGATAGGTTGTTCAAATCTATTAAGTTGTGTACCATACTTTATATGTTACAACTAATGATCTTCTATTCAACACAATAAACCAAATTATGTAAAATAACATAACGAACTCTCATAATTATTTATCCAAAATAAAATGCAAATCACACAACGTTGGCTAAACACGATTCTCATTCAAAAACTCAAAATATGTTTATTATAAAACCGAGCTTTTCGTATGACAATCAGACAAAACAGCTACCACCTATATACCAAGATCTAATCAACAAATACAGGAATGCCAATCAGAGAAACAACATCACCCAAATTTAGTTTTATGTACGCATGCAGACTAAAACCTATGTACCAGTATCAAATCAACCGAAACAACACACAGGAATGTCAGTCAGAGAAAAACAACATGATCACCCAAATTTGACTCGGAACTAAACGTGATCGTTGGACTCGTCTAGTAGTAACACTGGCTCCTGATCTGGAATCCCTACAATGGTATCCTCAACAGGCTGAGGGGCCTGGTAGTCAAACCGGTATAGGAAGTAAGATTGCCACCAAGTGGCAAAAACCAAAGTACCCACCGTGATGAAATGCCATACAGACACACATAGACCATAATGCTGGAAAGCCGTGAGGACGGGCAAGCGCAAGTAATTCTGCAAAAAACCATAATCGAAGATCGGTTTACCGATCTCGATAAAAGCAAAGACGGCCACGGCTACCAAATAATGACATATCATCCCCCGATACGAAGCCTTATGAAGGTATGCCGTGAGGATCATGATACCCGACAAGGCCAGATTGGCTATGATCGTCTGCCACCAGTTGCGTCTCTCACGCATGATCACACTTTTTCTCGCTCGAAACCCTAGCAGGTAAATCGCAAACGTGACAACAAATACAGCAAACATGGTCATAGCTAGAGCCGAACCGTGAAAATCCCATAGGAAAACTGGGCAGGCGGTGGCTGAAACGAGGCCCACCACGGCCCACAAAAGTGCAGCCTGAGAGCCGTTGACCCATCCTACATAGCCACCAGGCCCCGCCAGCGGTTGGGCATTGTGCTGGTCATCGAGCCCGAGTTGACTCAGTGCATTGACTCCGAGCTGTGCCGGGGCATCGAGCCCAGGATGAAGTGTGGAATCGGCGGAGGAAAGTGATGTCTTCTTGACTTCCGAACCCATGGACGAAAATTGGGAGTGATGAAAATGGACGTTCTGCAAGTTCTTGATTCTTGATTGGAAGATAACGCAAGTTCGGTGTCGCGATGAATAAAATGGCGAATGCCAGCGATTTTCTTGAAAATAGAGATTTTCAAGTCGGCGGACACTTGTTATATAACGGTTAGTTGTTTGGGTTTATATTTATGGAAATTAAAAATTAGTGCGTGTTTCTCTATTATGTTCAGGGACGGATCCACATTGTGCAAAGGGGGGTTATTGTCCCCCCCAAACTTCTAATTTTGCTTAATATATATGTATGTATTTATGTTCTAAGACTTTTTAAAAAAATTTAATATATAGATATATTATTGATTAAATATTTATAAAGCATATTCAATTTATACTCATTCCTATAATTATTACAAATTATTGTATAGCACTATTTACTAATTAGTTTGAACTACTATCATATTTTGTAAGTACCCTTTCAACAATGTTTTATAATATTTTTTTGTGTTTGATCTTAAACAATTAAATAATTAAATAGTAAGATTGGAATAGAAGAACATGCAACACATGCAATTCAATGGTTCGAAAGTGAATTACTATAACTATTAATACCGCATTAGACCATCTTTAGGATACTTAATAGTTAAACAACCACACTCTTCCAACAAATACATTTATACTTTAATACTTAAATGTCATACGTTATAGTGCAATACAAATAGAAGTATGACATTTCATAGTATAACAATGTATTTTTCATAGGGGAATATATCTGTCTACCAATTATGCAGCCTACCAGTTATAGCAGTTATGTTAATTTTGAACCAAACATCAATGAGTTTTGTGAATGTAAAGAATGTTGAGCATTTAAACTACCAAATTTAAGAAGTTATGTATTTTGTAGTGCAACTTATTAATTATTTTATTCATTTTAAATGCAATTTACTCCTATATATATATATATATATGATAGTTTAATAAAATGAATCAGATCAACTAGACTATTTAATAAATAAACAAAAATATGAGCACAAATTCGACTTGTGTAAGCTTCAATCTACTCGATTTGTTTAATAAGAAAGTAGAATAGTCGTTCTAGTTTGACTCATTTAAATATATGAATGATATGAAATTAAATTTTCACGAATTTGAAAAAACACAATCCAGTTCCAATAACTATTTTGGCCTATCCCAATTGTTTTTTCCTAAATCCGCCCCTGATTATGTTTATTTGATTACTGAAATACATTTATTCTTTCAAAACTAAAATGCGTTTATCTATTATATTGGTATGGTTATCAAAACTCATTCATTTTTAAAATATATACAATTTATACCTATGGATTTATATAGTGTAATAAAAAAAAAAAAATTCTTCATATTTTCATATCAATGGATATATATTACTTATTTTCTCACTTTATTAGTTAAAAATTTCGATAATATAGGGGAGTATATTATTGTTGATTTGATATTCAAAAACTAATTTTTATTTATTGATTAATATTTTCATAATAACTAGTACGTGCATGGGAGGAAGATATTAAATTAGTTATTTTCACAGGCTCTGTTCGTTTAGTCTAAAAAGCAATAGGGTTATCATTTATTTTCTACCTCTTTTAACCGAACCGAGCTTGGGTTGTTCGAGCTCGTGTTCGTGTTCGTTCATTTATTTTTCGAGCTAAAAATCATGCTCGAGCTCATTTGTCTAATTGTTCGTCAAAGCTCGAGTTGGTTCGTGTTCAAATAATTTAATACATAAACTTTTTAAATATGTTTGATTAATGTGTAATTTGATCGTTCGAACTCGAAACTAAAAAAATAAAATAAAAATATTTTTATATTTTACATTTTTTTATTAAAAATATTATGTAAATATATGAAAATAAAAAAAATAAAATAAAAATAGTTTTATATTTTATTAAAAATATTATGTAAATATATATAAAAAAATTATATTAAATTAACGTTCGCGAACATTATCGAACGAGCTCGTGTCCGTTCGATTATTAAACGAGCCTAATTTTTTGTTCCAACTCGACTCGGTTAACAAACGAACGAGCTTTTATCGTACACGAACGAGCTTTTATTCGCGAACGTTCGGCTCGTTTACAGCTCTAGTGCTAATCAATCCAACTAGCTATGGGAATTTTTTCCTCCTCTCTATCAATTTTTATGACATTTAGAATTTTTTCTAGTAATCTTTCAATTTAGTATAATTATTGTAATACTAAGAAGTAAGAGCCACTTGTTTATTTTTTATTTTTTTATTTGTTTTTGGTTCAGTAGAGAAATACTAAGTGTATATATTTTATCGTGCAGTATTTTATGTAATGTACACCCATGAGAAAAAAGAAATGGACGAAAAAATATGTATTATCATTCGCTCGAAGAACAAATATGCCGAGTTCATAATTATTCGAAAACAAAGCGGTGATCGTGTGCATCCATGGGCCATGGCAGACGTGCATGTGCATGTGCTGCTGAAGAAAAGAAGAACTCATGCAAATCTGTGAAATTCCAATTTTGAACTCACTTAAATGAATTTTGGGCCAGCCCAAATGCCTACTAATTGTAACTGGGTGCTGTATATTTTGGGCCTCTCCCATACAAAATTTTACCTCCTTTTTTTTTTCTTAATATATATATATATATATATATCAATATATCACATTTCTTAAAAAATCTCAGAATAAATAAAGAAGTGATCATACGAGAATGGTAGATAGTGAAAGAAATAAGAATGATTCTGGACCATTGGATAAATTATATCAAAAGACACGATATGAAGTCAAAATTAAATACCAATGGTCAATTCATTAATGGCAAAATCGTAAGTACATTAATATCCATGACAAAAAAAAACACCAGGGGGCATTTATGTAATTCACCATACACTCACAATAACTTGGACTCACACATGTCACACAAATCAGATTTATCTCTCCCCTCTCTCTTTCTCATCGTCTATACCTATATCTATCTCTCTCTCTCTCTCTCTCACACACACACACCACCGGCGGCGGCGACACAGTCACACACATCACACGCAGCCACCGTCTGCCGACAGCTCACACCACCGCATATATCCGTCATGTTGCTGCCGTCGACAGCCTGTTGCCGTTACCATCCGACGATTCCGTCAGTCTGTCCAAAACTCACGGCGAGAGCTCCCGGCAACAACCACATACCTTCAACAGACCGATGCCTCGCCTCCGCCTTCCACCCGGCAACAACCACATACCTTCAACAGACCGATGCCTCGCCTCCGCCTTCCACCACCAATCCGCCTCTTAGCCCGAGTCATCCGTCCACCACATCTTCGACTCGCCTGCCGAAGGTGAAGCTACGGCGACCGGTAGCCAAAAGTCCGATATTCGTGGCTGAGGTTGATGGAGGCAGCAGATCGCACCTCCATCGCGTACAACAACTCGATGGCCCGGTGGAGGTGCAACAACGCTTATGTCGTCGATTAGGCATGACGTCGCCAGAAAATCGCCTGGCCAGTGGTTGAGCCGTCGGCTTTGTGTGTGTGCAGTGTGTTGTGTGTAGTGTGTGTGCATGTGTGTGTGTTGAATGAACGGTCGAAGTACGCAGTCAAAGTACGTAGTCAAAGTAACACTGATGCAGGGCCGTAGCAGGACACTTCTGTACAAGATGAGACTATATACAAAAGGAACTTGTTCAATAGATTTAAACATTAGGAGCTAGCTTAGGATGGCTCCGCTCGGCTCCGCTTGACTCGACATAAGAGAAACATTAATTATCAACTCAAACCAGAATAACAACATGTATCTATCCTCCTAACACTACTCATGTACAACTACCAAATTATGCTTGCACTTAACATGTTCGTGTAATAATCCCGAAAAATAATGTATAAATATCAGCGGTAGAAACACAGCCATAAGCGTAGCTCAAGTCGATTCCCAATTACATAGGTTGTAACCTGAGACGAGTGAACTCAATGCAAAGGCAACGAAAGCTAGGAAGGACATAGCAATTGATGCACTGGCCATCAACGTGAACTCATCCCCTCCCCAATTGGAAATCCAGTCATCAACCCTCGTGGCTGCTGATGACGATGCTGACATCAGCAGGTACGCCAGAATCTGGTGGGCCCACATAAAAGGACAAACTTGATTGATAAGTGTTTGAATTAACTTTGGAATTAGCATGCCACTAGAGGTTTTAGCTTTTAAATTACACNNNTCAATTCAATTAGGCGTAAATCACATTCACAAAGTAAGAAAAGCGAATAAAAGAAGAAAAATTGTGGCCTCGACATTGAAAACAAATCATGACATTAAAGAAGATGGCCCGCAAATTTCCCCGTTAATATATGGCAAAATGCAAATAGCGATAATTCTGATTGGAGCTCATCCATTTGCGCACAATAGTAGGGATGCTTGAAAAAAATTGAATATATGGTTTAATTTGACTTGCCTGATCCATTGTGAAACTAAAAAGGTGACGTAGGTTATGAACGATAACAAGTTTCCCCGTGGCCAAATGGTAAGCAACTTCAAAGGATTGAAAACCAGAGTACACAAAGGCAATAACATTTACAGCCACACAATACCTGTATAGGAGAACAGAAAAAAAATTAGAACACTAGACACAACATATATACAAAAAAGGAAATTATTTTCAGCTCATTTTTAGTTTCTTTAGTTTGTAAACTTGTGTTTCCATAGTAGCCCTCTTAACTGATAAATAGGCAGACTGAAGTGATAATATTATTTTTTAGTACCAACATTAAGTTGAAGAATCATATTCAGCTACCAGAACTCAAATAGCTGAAAACACTCCAAATAACAATGATAATCAAAATCCATATTGCTCAAATTAATGCTGATTGTCGAAAATGAACATATTTGCAGGACAAACCAAGTACATTATAGGAACCAGACAATATTTCACTTCAAATCATCCACAATGCACATGTTTAAGCTCAGTAAACTAACTTCTCCTAATCTTCAATGGGCTCGAGCCACATGATCAATAAACATCATCTTCCCAAAACTAACTTGAACTCAAAACCAATTAGGAATTCCACCAACACAATCAACAAACATAAAAACATCATCTCCAAGTAAGTAATCAACAATACAACACATCCAAGAAATTGATTTTTTTGATAAAAA